GATCCGTCATCAACTGGGTTCCCGAATTTTGAAGCAAATCGAACGGTGATTTGTAGGAGTAACGCCGTCGCGTGGTCCGCCCTGTAGATCTTGGTCGGACCGGAGGCGGGACGCGTTCGCAGGTCGGTCATTGGAGTCAAGAAGCAAGCGACGAGAAAGAACCAAAGCCTCAGCAAAGGGAGTTGGGGGACGAGAGGGATAGTGAGAGGGGAGAGAGGTGAGGGATGGGGACGACGCTGCGGTACGCGATGGTGTGCTCGTCGAACCAGAACCGGAGCATGGAGGCGCACGCGCTGCTGAAGCGGCAGGGCTTCGACGTTTCTTCCTACGGGACTGGGGCGCACGTCAAGCTCCCGGGCCCCTCGCTGCGGGAGCCCAACGTCTACGACTTCGGCACCCCCTACAAGTTCATGCACGATGAACTCCGCCGCAAAGACCCCGACTTGTAAACGTCTCCCCTTCCCGCGCCCCCTCTCCTTACCCCCATCGCGAAGCCCTGATTTTGGATGTCGGTGTCGGGTGTAGGTACAAGCGAAATGGGATACTGCCGATGCTCAAGAGGAACCTCGGGGTCAAGAATGCGCCGCAGCGGTGGCAGGACAACGCTGCTGATGGCTGCTTCGACGTCGTTATGACCTTCGAGGAGAAGGTCTTCGATACCGTCATCGAAGGTCGGTCTTTCCTCTTTTCTCTGCTACGGCCGCCCTCTTGCTTAAGAATTTAGGGTTAAGAGTTCAAAATTGCCGGATTTGGGGGTTTTCTTTACCTGAACATTGCAATTCATGATGATGCAACTGCAAGCACTACGCTAAGAATTACATTTTAATCTATCATGATTTTAACGAGCAATTGAACTATAGCAGGGTTTTCGATTATCAATGCCTTTTGGCTTTAATGACAAATAATAAATGTGTATCGCTGTGCAACATATTAAAGTAGTCTTTTGCATTGTTTTATTGTCAATACAGATCTTAATAATCGGGAACAGAAGGTGATAAGAAGTGTTCTGATAATCAACTTGGAAGTAAAAGATAACCATGAAGAAGCTGCCACTGGTGCCAAGCTCGCTTTAGATTTGTGTCAAGATGTAAGTATCTTATGCACAGGTTTACATATCAAATGATCTATGCATGCTTATGTTGAATGCTACCAAAGATGTCCGGATGTTTGTATCTTTCTGTGTTGGATATACTCCTTTTGAAGTTTAATAAGTTCAGGTACTCTATGTTGAGAGAGATTATGCAAGTCTCCTTTTGAAAATTATCCGTTCTCACATAAAATCTTCACTCAAGTATTCCCTTGTCATTCTTATCAAAATATAAAATGGACAACCTGAATTCTGTATCCACTCGAGGACAAATGATATATTAGGGAACTTATACTAATGGGTTGTTGATTACCGAACTACTTTCATTGAGGCAACCAGTACTATCTTTCTGAGGTCACAGTTAAATCTCATTTCACACTTCTAATTAGCCACTATATTATTCATTTTCTTTCAGAAAATTCTGGTTAAGTTTCCAATGAACCCAATTGCCTTTCTGGGGTCCCTGATAAGCTACCATATTCCATGTATAGAGTTATGTTTGTTTGAACTATATATAACTACGATCAAATATATAATTTCCAGATGTTTTGGCTTTTATTGAGTTAAAAGTTCTCACGTGTCAGTTTTCTGGCACTCAGTATAAGTGTTCTTCCAGTTAAATAGGACTTCTTCATTGGTTGAGTGCATTTTGGCCTGTCTTTCCATGTTTTGTGATGTTTAGGATTGTTGGAGGCCTATTTCACACCTTATAATTGGACAAGTCTTTTAATAGACTGAACTGGCACTTTTAGATTGAAAATGACCAAATCAGTCATTTAACTTTGAGGTGTTGTTGTTTATATCATGACCATGACTGTGTACTTTTTGTTGGAGTTATTTTCTTTTTCTTTTTCCTTCTTCTTTCTGCTATGGCAGCAACTTGTTTGTGTTGGCGAGCAGCATGCCAAAATCCATTCCACAAGTTAACCAAAAACCTTCGTACTTCAAGAACCTAAAACCATAAATTTAATTCATGACATTTTTATTAGCAAGAGCGCATAAATATTCAACTATTGAGTGCATTTTACTATGTCAAAGTAGCTTGTCTTAATTTATTTTACACCTAATCCTAATCCTATTAGAAGGAGACCTTTTACTTATTCCACATAGATCCTTTCCTTATCCTAGTCAGAGAAGAGGTGCACATGATTAGGATATAAAGATGGAGCTGATAGTAACTTTGAGAAAATTTTCAACATTGCACAGAATCAACTAAAGAGTTTTGTTTATCTAAAAGAGAACTTCCTTTGGTACTTGTAATCTGTTCCATTGTGTATATGTAAGAAATGTATTGCATTTTACAATTCATTCCTAGTGGCCTGGATGACTCGGGTATTATGGAAGACATATTTAATTTATCATCTTTCTTTTTTTATTTATAGGAGTGAAACTGGACTAGTACTTCAGTCTATGAGACTGTTTAGACTGCTAAGGTTCATGGTTCCGTCAATAAATAGATCTGTAAGGATACTTTATACTTCGTCTTGTTTGTTGTTATAAAAGGAAAAAAAATAATTTGAAGCAGACAATATTTTGCTATTTTAAGGAAGATTGGAGGGGGATAGGAAAGGCAAAAAGTAAAGAACCTCTTGAAAAATCATATTGAAAATTGGCCTGTTATTTAAACAAGGAGACCCATGTTGTCTTAAATAGAGAAGAAACATTCACAAAGTGGTTCAAACAAAATTTCTTTTTTCTCTTTTTTTTGTGGGGACAACATATAAATGTCTTTCTTACAAGACAAAAGTTTGCGAGTAATGTAGTCTTATATATACTTGACTATCGCCTCCAGAAGAATCCTTTTGGTTAAAATTTGCTTCTTCAAATAAATGAAAAAAACAATTCAATGAACTTACAAAGTGTCACAGTTGAAAGAGCTGCTAGAAATGCAAAAGTGGAGAAGAGCCTCTGAGAACCACAAAAATTGTCCAAAGATAAGCTAAAATATCAACATAAGAGATTCTTTTAATAAAAATGCCTTTGAAATCTTGTATCCATGTCTCTTTCATGTAAGCATTCCTGTACATTTGCCAGTTTCAAGTAATTTCAGGGAAAAAGTTGTTCTTGAGAACTTAGAACTGATTTTGGAAAGGAAGTGAAAAAATGTTTCTCCTTATGGGTTCAATGATAATTTTTTTTTTTACTTTTGCTTAGCTACCAGATGTTTCCTTACTATACGGGGAAAAGACTGCTTGATAACTGTTACCTTTTTTGGTATCGAAATCTGTTGCTTAGATTTTTTAAAATATTACTGATGCCTACATTTGAAAATGCCAAATGGAGATTTGCAATATCATTAAGCTAATAAGAGATATATGGTGGTGCAGATTGAATCTGCAGACTGCTGGGAGGATGCAATCGATGACATTGTTGTTGCATTTGAGAGACAACAGAAGCGAAAACTACTCTACACCATCTCATTCTATTAGATGTGTAGTGGGTCTATTAAACCTTCTGAAAGTGTATTAGGTTGGCTGAAATGAAAAGAAGATTAATCCTTATCTCTTGCCTAAATTTTGTTGGTTTTCTTGTAGTAGAACATTCACAGCATGACCCCTTGGTCCCGTAGGGTTCAGGTAGACCGAGCTAGGTTACATCCAGCTACTTGTACAACAGACTGATACGGTTTCACTTGGCCTGGGGGGATGTGTTTGTACTTGTACTATTTTCTGTTCTTGGGATGACCCAATTATATAAAAGAGTATCTTATAAGTTGCTATGAAATATGCATTAAAACAATATCTGGATGATTTATAGTTAAGACTTTTGTTCCAGAGGTTGAAATTGGTATGAACAGAGTTCTAGATCTAAATAATTAGGCAGAAAGCTGTATCTTTCCTCTATCTGCGAAAGCTTCGCTTGCCGACATGTTCTTGCCGACATGTTTTTTTTTTATATTTTTTGTAGACAACTTGCAAATTAGGTAGTAGATTTTTTGTATGTTTTTCGTGGTCCCTGTTCCACAGTTGACTATAAATTATTCTTTTTTGGGGATTAATATGTCAAAAGAAATTTTAACCATAGAGAACAGTGTTTATATTATTTGATTTAACAGGGAATTAGGATTCTATTCATTTTGCATGTATCCAATGAATGAATGGTCAAAAAAGGAAAAGAAATTAAATGTTCAAATCCATAAACGAAACGACATATCTAACACACAGTATGATCCGTTGGCGTCACGCTAGATTTTAATTAATCGATCGCTGTTACGGGATCCACTTGTTTTTGTTAGGTGAGACGTGTCACGGGCACGATGATATTAAAGGAACGGTTGAGATCGATCATCGATGATGATGATGATTCGGATCCTTACCCGAATCCGAAGACCCGAATGTGACCCAAGATGCCGGTGGATATTCCCTCGCCGACACTATCCGTTAGTCCATTATTTGTGGACGCTATCGTTGACGTGGAATACCCCACCCACCGTCGTCTTCCTGGGCCCCGCTTTATCAGATATATCGGTTCATAATTTCCACGGATTAGACCACGAAATATCTACCCTCTTTCATTTCCATTCACAAAAAAACGATCTCATAATAATTCGTCACGAATAACACGTAAATTCGACGTGTCTCCGGTCGTGTCTCAGATCACAGCGTCGGCTTCCGTGGTCGTACGGTGTCGTGTCCCTCTCCGTGACACGTGGAAGAACGCTTCTCCCGTCGGCCCCGAGAACGAGATCATTGGGTGATCGGGGTGCCAATCACGTCGTCATCTAAAACTCACAGCGATCTCACTGCCCCGCCGGTAAACGATCGAACAGCAAGTCTCGTGATTAACCCAACCACCACCACTCTTCGATAAATCTCCACTTTTTGACGGCAAGGTCGAACCACATCCGTGATCACAGAAGCCCACTTGCTTCCATCAGACCGTTCCCACGGCTTCGCCCCCACTATATATATCCCACCCCCTCCCTCCATCCGCAGTGCACAAGCAGCGGTCATATCCCACTCGGTTCACTTCGCAAGCAACAGCCCTTCGTGCCAAAGATGTCCGAGGAGAGGCACCACCACCACCTCTTCCACCACCGCCAGGAGGAGGAGAAGCCCTCCGAGGAGGTGGTCTACTCGGAGACCGCCTATAACCCCAGCGGCGATGACTACACCTCCGGCTACACGGAGACCGCCGTCGCCGAGTCCGCTTCAGATGAGTTCGAGAGGTACGAGAAGGAAGAGAAGCATCACAAGCACAAGGAGCACCTCGGCGAGATGGGCGCCCTCGCCGCCGGTGCCTTTGCCTTGGTACTCCTCTTTCTTCACATACTGCATAGACATCGGTTTCTTGATCCTTTTTCCTTTTTCTTGGAGACCATCATAAGAACTATGCAGTCGACTACATGTGACTAAGTCGAACTTACAATAAATGGTGATCCAACAGTACGAGAAGCATGAGGCCAAGAAGGACCCTGAGCACGCCCACAAGCACAAGATCGAGGAGGAGATCGCTGCAGCGGTGGGCGTCGGCAGCGGAGGGTATGCCTTCCATGAGCACCACGAGAAGAAGGATGCCGAGAAAGAGGCCGAGGAGGCGAGCGGACAGAAGCATCACCACCACCACCTCTTTTGAGGGCGCTATATGTGTATCTATGCCCTTTATGATCCATCTTATGCGATGTCGATAATTTGGTGTTTTATTACACCCCAAATAAGCACTGATTTATCGAGTGCAACAATAAAGGGTGTATTTCTTTAAGATTTATGTTAGTGTGGAATGCTTCGTCCTTTTTAATCGTTGTATGCTATCAAAATATTAAAAAGAGTCGTTTGTATAATTTTTTTTTTCTCATCAACCTTCCTCTCTTTTCTATTAAAATAATCAAATATTAATATGTCATATCCGATTGTCACCTAATGAATAATACGTCTGATACAATACAAGGATCCATTTGACATCGTTTTAGATGGTCTATATACAAGGATTCGATTAGAATATTGGTCCATCTGGATCTATTAATAACTCTTATCCGATTTAAGATCGAATCCGATCCGCGTGACAGAGGCTTTAATAATAACGAGTGTATTTCTTTAAGATTCGTGTCGGTATGGGATGCTTCGTCATTCTAATCATTGTATGCTATCAAAATTCTAAAAAGAGTCGTTTGTGTAATTTTCTTTTTGTCTCGTCAATCTTCCCTTCTCTTCTATTAAAATAACCAAATACTAATATGTCATATCCGATTGCCACATAAGGAATGATACGTCCGATACGCTACAAGGATCCATTTGGCATCGTTTTAGATGATCTATTTATCGGATTAGGTCCGATTAGGATATTGG